GAGACGGGGTTTCACCATGTTGACCAGGATGGTCTCGATCTCTTGACCTCGTGATCCACCCGCCTCGGCCTCCCAAAGTGCTGGGATTACAGGCTTGAGCCACTGCGCCTGGCCAACTCTGCCTCTTTCTGTGGGACAGGTTGTTCCATCCCACTGGCATCAGTCCAAACTTCCACCCAGGTCCATGCTGACAACTTGCAGCACCAGGTGGGAGCCTTGCTCAGAGTTGCATCGACAACCCACGGTGCCCTTCAATCTCGTGGGGCTCTCGTGGAGTGTGGGTTGCATGAGGGATGAGGTAAGCACAGGATCCGAACCGGAGCACCTAGGGGGTGAAGTCCCCAACCCTCTGAGCCGGCTGCACGTTCCAGGTGGGGACGCGTCCCGTCCTATATGGGTTCACCCTTCCTGGTCAGCCCTTGCCCTGCTTCGGCTCCTTCCCTGGGCTATTTTCAGAGTCCTACCAGTCCCACCGAAACAAACCTGGCACCTTGCTTGGAATTGTGAAGTCCTCTAGCCCTCTGCGTCTCATTCACTGGGAGCTGCATTCCGGTGTTGCCTCCTCTCAGCCATCTTGGAAAAATGGCAACTTAAATTTATGCTTCAGGTTGTATTCTTTGAACTTGGCACAAATTTGTGTTCTATTTATATTAATTTTGCCTCAGCTTCTTCCTCTTAGGTCCACACTTGGACGGGCTGTTTGGAAAGGGGAGTTGAATTTTGCACTGTGTAGCCAGGAGCAGTAATTAAGACCAGAAAGTAGACGTATCGGGAAAGCAGTTTTTTAGTCAATATAAGGAAAATTTTTGTGCAAATTAGAGGTTTCTAACACAGTGCTTCTAAACTTTGAGTATATATGAATTATCTGGGAATTTTGTTAAAATGCAGAATCCAGTTCTGTAGCTCTGAGGTTGCGCATTTCTAACAAGGTACCAGCTGAACCTGCAGACTACACTGAGTAGAGTAGAATAATTGGTTTTCGATAGAGTTTGCTACTAGCCATGTGTTACTATTGAGCATTGTGAATTTTTAAGTTTAGTCGCATATGATTAGTGGCTATCATATTGGACTGCATAGATAGAAGACATATAAGTTCCCTCAGCCCACTTAAGGGTTTATGTTCACTGGGCACCACTTTGTGTGGTTATTGTAAAAATATTGAAGGTAGGTTGGACTATTTAAGATTGCAGTAGTTTGGACTATTTCTCACCATCCAGATTCTTGCTATGATATATCTTGGCAGTGTGGAGAATTACTAAGGATTTTCTAGTGAAAAATTGATTTATTTATTTTAAATGACAGAAAAAGTTTTTTTGATAAGCAGATCATGGGGCGTGTGTGTGTGTCTATGTGTGCATTTTGGAGATTAGTTGGGGAGGAGTTCAAAACATAGACTTGGGTATGACAAAGTTCCTTTACACATCTTATTAATGCAAATAGGATTTCTCAACACTTACACCCCAAAAAGCAATAGAATTTATGCTAAACTCTAACTTCCTTGTAATAAGTGATATTTGACTACAGTACTATATATACGTACTTTAGTGTACATAAAGTAATTGGAGAGGAAAGGTAGCATTAACCCACTAAGAAATACATTTTCCAAATCTGTTTTTTCCCGTCAAAATTTGCAAATCATGTTTTAATTAATCATATGCTTATAATAATTGTAATGATATACAGGAGAATTCTCTTTTTTAAAAAGTACAATTTCCATTTTATTTTCCTCCAGAGAATAGTTTCTCTTCAGTCCTTAAGGATTCAGTTGCTTACATGGTCTTTGGTGAGGGTCATGAGGCAGCACCCACAGGTTTAAATCAGGGTGGGATGTTTGGTCCCTGTGGGATTTACAAGATGGATTGCTGACTACCTTGCTATGAGTGGCACAACTCATAGTGTAATGTAGCTTCACATACAGCTTGGGAAGAACACAGGGGGCAAAGATGCGCACTGCAGAAATGTCCCTGACTGCTGTGGCCTCTACTGTGTTTTGCATGACGGGCTTCTTAATAGCCTTTTCCTTGGGCATGCATCGGACATAGGATGTGCCACTAGTTGGCCACAGCCCTTTTTGGCACAATTCTTTGTCATCTTGGAAGTAAGGACCTGAGAGAGCTACAGAAGAATTCTTGACATTAAGAGACTTACAGTCATGGGAAATTTTTTTTTAATTACCATTTTAACTTTCATTTTACATAAATATAGACAAGTGTGATAGAGGGATCAGTAAAAGCTTTTCAAGTATAATTACATATTTAGAGTAAAATTCTGTGGACACAGTGGAGTGAAAATATGAGTTGGAAAAAATGTAAAAAGTTTTAAACTTTTCATAGTCCAGCAATTTCATGTTTTTATTTATTATTTATTTATTTATTTAATGGCGATGGTGGGTATCCAGTCACCTGTAGCATTTGTATTCCAACTAAAAATACAAAAATTAGCTGGGCATGGTGGTGCGCACCTGTAGTCCCAGCTACTCGGGAGGCTGAGGCAGGAGAATTGCTTGAACCCAGGAGGCAGAGGTTGCAGTGAGCTGAGATCACACCACTGCACTCCAGCCTGGTGCTTGGCAACGGAGCGAGACTCTGTCTCAAAAAAAAAAAAAAAAAAAAAAAAAAAAAAAGATTGATAAAACAGTTCTGAGATAACATGTTAATATTTTTTGTACTAGAAATTACATTCTCTGTAACTTAAAATACTCATAGATTTTTTTGTTACTCTTTAGAAGTACTAGAGTCAAGCTGTGATCTAGTTCACAAAGCAACTCAGTGATTGTTTGCTTTTCTTTTTAAAAAATGAGGTGGTTTTGCATGGGAATGTGTATTCTAACATTAAACTTGATGATTTATGTGGAAAAGGAGAGATTATAAAATAGTAATTCACACAATAGGTTCCATATTTATGAAATTTTTTTTTTTCAAAAAAAGACAAAAAAAAATTTATTGTCATAAATTAATCCAGTAGGTATATCTGAGAAAGCGTGCATCAATTGGTTAGGGCAATAAGCACCTCTAGCACATTGCCCATGTGTTCCCCAAGCTGCCTTCTGCTGCTGCTTGAGATAGCTCCATCTCACTCCTGTTTGGCTTTTTGCTCCTGGAACTTTCTGTCTCCAATCACAGACATGGCCATCTCCAGATTGGAACTCTGGATCCTCTTCTCCTCTGCATAGTCGGTAACTCGCTCCAAGTCCACCGCACCACCGTCATGTTTCCGTGGCTTCTCAGGAGGTCGCTCTGGGCCACGGGTCTCAGTCTCTGTAACTTCGGCTCCACATCCCCTTCGGTCGCCGTATCTAGTTCCTGAAATTTCTTAATTGAAGACTTCTTTCAGGAAATACAACTAAAAGATGATAGGTTTAGATACTCAACATAATGGGTTCCTGAGGGAAACCACGAAGTTAAGGGGCCATGCTTAATCTTTGGGGTGAACATCATGAGCTTTCCCAACACATCTCAGGTTGCCTTCAGAACAGATTCTAAATCTGGCTGAATAGGTTCATTCTTATGTTTTTTGTTTGTTTGGTTTTTTTTCTTTCTTTTTTTCGAGACGGGGTTTCACCGTGTTGGTCAGACTGGTCTTGAACTCCTGACCTCAGGTAATCCACCAGACTCGGCCTCCCAAAGTGCTGGGATTACAGGCGTGAGCCACCACACCCGGCCTCCATTCTTATGTTTTTAGATTTATCTTTGTATACTGGGTTTATGGAGAGGGTAATAAACAGGCATTTGTTTTTTTCTCCAATCAGGTTTGAGACTTACCCCCACTAGGTTATTACTGTCTTTACTGTTATGTTGTCATATGTTTATACACCATTTAAAATCGTTAAAACATAGTTTATGTGTCCATTTCTTACAGGTTGCAGATATTTTATTCCAAACGGCCCAAAATGCAGGGATCAGTTTTGACACAGTGTGTGGAGTACCTTATACAGCGTTACCATTGGCTACAGTTATCTGTTCAACCAATCAAATTCCAATGCTTATTAGAAGGAAAGAAACAAAGGATTATGGTAAAATAAAAGTAACATAAGCATTAAGTTAATTAATCTGTAACATAATACTGTTAGAATTTTTTTCTCCTCCGTGCACTAATGATTTACCAGAGTCATCTTGAGTCCTTTAAGTTGTTATTGGCTGTGGAATTTGTAACTGTTACTATAAGTCACCTTCCTTTTTTTTAGAGTCTAGGGGTGAAATGCTTTGTATTGGTTGAAAAAAGGTGCTTTTTGTGGTACTGTATCTATGCAACCCCAACTTTTTTTTTTCACCAGTCCATCCCTCATCAGCAAAATGTAACAGCACATACTTTCCCAATAGGTTTGTATTTAAACTTCATAAAAAAGTAATGCATGGATAAAATTATTCTCATAAAACAGATAAAACAGTGCAAATACCTAGAGAGATGCTTTTGTGGGTTCATGGCAATAGATTATCAGGCGGCTTGCTTTAAAACCCGAGAATTGGACCAGGCACCATGGCTCACACCTGTAATCCCAGCACTTTGGGAGGCAGAGGTGGGCGGATCACTTGAGGTCAGGAGTTTGAGAGCAGCCTGACCAACATGGTGAAACCCCGTCTCTACTAAAAATATAAAAATTAGCTGGGTGTGGTGATGTGCCCCTGTAATCTCAGCTACTTGGGAGGCTGAGATAGAAGACTAGCTTGAACCCAGAAAGTAGAGGTTGCAGTGAGCCGAGATCACACCACTGTACTCCAGCCTTGGGGACAGAGTGAGACCCTATTTTAAAAAAAACAAACCTGAAAATCGGCCAGGCACAGTGACTCACACGTAATCCCAGCACTTTGGGAGGTCAAGGCAGGAGGATAGCTTGAGCCCAGGAGTTGGAGACCAGCTTTGGCAACATAGTGAGACTTTGTCTCTACAAAAAAATTGAAAAAAAGAATAAAAAATTAGCTGAGTGTTGCAGTTACATGGGAGGCTGAGGCAGGAGGATGGCTTAAGCCCAGGAGTTGAAGGTTGCAGTGAGGTATGAATGCGCCACTGCACTGCACCCTGGGTGACAGAGCAATACTATCAAAAAATAAATAAATAAAACCTGAAAAGCAATCTTAATGATAGTAAGGAATTAATGGACTTTTTTGTTTATGTTGGTGTATTAGTGTTTTGTTAATTTTTTGAAACACATCCTGCTTTTACAGATGCATTCTAAAAATTTTTATGATAGAAAAAGAAACATATTAATTGAGTTTTTGCTGTGAAGGCCAGCGTTAATTTTTCTGTTTTTGGGGTTTTTTGAGACAAGGTCTCACTCTGTTGCCTAGGCTGGTCTTGAACTCCTGGTCTCAAACCGTTTTCCTGCCTCAGCCTCCCGAAGTGCTGGGATTACAGGTGTGAGCCACTGCACCCAGCTGAGATTTTCTGAGCTAAAAAAAAAAATTTCTATATGAATCCCTACCCATAAGAAAACTCTTGTTTCTATTTTATTATTTTACATTTTAAAATTTTTTCTAGAATTAAAGTATGCATTTTAAAATATACTATAAGTACTTGCAGTCTTGTGTTCTAGCTTAAGCTGATTTAATTAAACTTGCAATTGTTCAAGGGGTGGAAGGGATTTGATGGGTCTATAAAGTCTACAACCCAAGTTATTTACATTTTGTAGATTATCTGAAAAATAGTTTATAGTGGGATTTGGGGTAGAGACGTATATATTTAGTCATATTGCATTCTATAATTCTTTAGGTTGTAGTAATGGATTTAAATGATTGCTGAATATTTTGCCTTCTGAATTTATATCTTCAAAAAGCCAATTGTTTGGCTGATCTTGAATAGTAAACTGGTAATACTTTGATGGAAAAATGAATTATTTCATTGATGATATTGGATTATTCTGTGTTTCATAACTTTCCTTGATCTAGGTGCTCTTGCTGTAAGAAACTCTGTATTTAGGCTGGTCATGGTGGGTCACACCTGTAATCCTAGCACTTAGGAAGTCTGAGGTGGGAGGATCACTTGAGCTCAGGAGTTTGAGACCAGCCTGGGCAACATAGTGAGACCTCATCTCTATTATAAAACAAATTTTTTTAATTAAATAAAAAAAAACCTCCGTATTTGAAAATTTGATCATAAAACACATTTAGCAGTGCTTATAATGTAAAATAATTTACTTGTTTTACCATAAATATATGTGTAACCAGCAAGTTTGATATACATACACACATATACATATATATTTGAATTTAGAATCAGCAGAATTTTTTCTTTTCTAGGAACTAAGCGTCTTGTAGAAGGAGCTGTTACTCCAGGAGAAACCTGTTTAATAATTGAAGATGTTGTCACCAGTGGATCTAGTGTTTTGGAAACTGTTGAGGTTCTTCAGAAGGAGGGCTTGAAGGTCACTGATGCCATAGTGCTGTTGGACAGAGAGCAGGGAGGCAAGGACAAGTTGCAGGCACATGGGATTCGCCTCCACTCAGTGTGTACATTGTCCAAAATGCTGGAGATTCTCGAGCAGCAGAAAAAAATTGATGCTGAGATGGCTGGGAGAGTGAAGAGGTTTATTAAGGAGAATGTCTTTGTGGCAGCGAATCAAAATGGTTCTCCCTTTTCTGTAAGGGAAGCACCCAAAGAACTCAGCTTCGGTGCACGTGCAGAGCTGCCCAGGATCCACCCAGTTGCATCGAAGCTTCTCAGGCTCATGCAAAAGAAGGAGACCAATCTGTGTCTGTCTGCTGATGTTTCAGAGGCCAGAGAGCTGTTGCAGCTAGCAGATGCTTTAGGACCCAATATCTGCATGCTCAAGACTCATGTAGATATTTTAAATGATTTTACTCTAGATGTGATGAAGGAATTGATAACTCTGGCAAAACGCTATGAGTTCTTGATATTTGAAGACCGAAAATTTGCAGATATAGGAAACACGGTGAAAAAGCAGTATGAAGGTAAGTGTATTATTCAAGAATCTGCAAGAATCAGAAATCCAGCTTAAACTGGCTGAAGAGAAAAAAAAGGAAATGCTTATGTCACTGAAAGTCCATTCATAGAGCACGCTGTCAAGCATGGTTGGATCCAGGAGCCCAAGTGGTGTCTTCATGACTTGCTTTCTTTCCATTTCTCAGCTCTGCTTTCTTCTCTGTTGACTTCTTTCTCAGGTAGGCATACTCAACATGCTCACCCCAAGCCAATCACTCTAGCTTGGGATATAGAATACCTTCATTAGCTAGCCTGGACAATCTGCTCTGCAGTTGTGAGGTTGTTAACTCTACTTGACCTTCTTTTTTTTTTTTAATTGTATTTGGGCTCTGGGGTACATGTGCACATCCTGCAGGATTGTTGGATGGGTACATACATGCCTATTTGACCTTCTTGAAGTGAGAACCAGGCAGGGATAGTTTTCTTAAAGAAAATGGGTATGCTGATACCAGAAGAAGTTATGTGTCTGGCCAAGCAAATGTGACAGATGTCTCTGGCAGAATATGATGTTTTAAATGAAAATTCCACATAAAGGAAACAATGAAAAAGAAGTATAAAATAGTAAGATTAGCTGGATGTGGTGGCTCACGCCTGTAATCCCAGTACTTTGGGAGGCCAAGGCGAGCGGATCACCTGAGGTTAGGAGTTTGAGACCAGCCTGACCAACATGGAGAAACCCCGTCTCCACCAAAAATACAAAATTAGCCAGCTGTGGTGGTGCATGCCTGTAATCCTAGCTACTTGGAAGGCTGAGGCAGGAGAATTGCTTGAATCCCAGAGGCGGAGGTTGCAGTGAGCCAAGATGGCGCCACTGCACTCCAGCCTGGGCAACAGAAGTGAAACTCCATCTCAAAAAAACAAAAAGATTTATTTGTAGCAGAAAAAGTTCTATTGATAAACGTTCTTTGTATAAAATAGTGCATGTGTTGGTTAAGAAAAATGCTTAGTTCTACTGCCTATTTTTTGTAAATTTCTGTCTATGTTTTTACAACTATGGTCAGACTGTATTTTAATACATTTTTCACTTAACCTTGTAACAGATATTGGTGGTATTTAACATTTTTTGTAGGCATCTTTGAGGTAACTTTGCTTTAATGTGTGCCTGTTCAGAAGCTGTTTCTTTTAAAGTGACTTCTTCCTATGCTTAAGATGTCCTGCCATCATCGCATTGCCCAACTTACTTTAGCCAATTGACTGGTATGAGAGTTTTATACAAACTCNAAAAAAAAAAAAAAAAAAAAAAAAAAAAAAGATTGATAAAACAGTTCTGAGATAACATGTTAATATTTTTTGTACTAGAAATTACATTCTCTGTAACTTAAAATACTCATAGATTTTTTTGTTACTCTTTAGAAGTACTAGAGTCAAGCTGTGATCTAGTTCACAAAGCAACTCAGTGATTGTTTGCTTTTCTTTTTAAAAAATGAGGTGGTTTTGCATGGGAATGTGTATTCTAACATTAAACTTGATGATTTATGTGGAAAAGGAGAGATTATAAAATAGTAATTCACACAATAGGTTCCATATTTATGAAATTTTTTTTTTTCAAAAAAAGACAAAAAAAAATTTATTGTCATAAATTAATCCAGTAGGTATATCTGAGAAAGCGTGCATCAATTGGTTAGGGCAATAAGCACCTCTAGCACATTGCCCATGTGTTCCCCAAGCTGCCTTCTGCTGCTGCTTGAGATAGCTCCATCTCACTCCTGTTTGGCTTTTTGCTCCTGGAACTTTCTGTCTCCAATCACAGACATGGCCATCTCCAGATTGGAACTCTGGATCCTCTTCTCCTCTGCATAGTCGGTAACTCGCTCCAAGTCCACCGCACCACCGTCATGTTTCCGTGGCTTCTCAGGAGGTCGCTCTGGGCCACGGGTCTCAGTCTCTGTAACTTCGGCTCCACATCCCCTTCGGTCGCCGTATCTAGTTCCTGAAATTTCTTAATTGAAGACTTCTTTCAGGAAATACAACTAAAAGATGATAGGTTTAGATACTCAACATAATGGGTTCCTGAGGGAAACCACGAAGTTAAGGGGCCATGCTTAATCTTTGGGGTGAACATCATGAGCTTTCCCAACACATCTCAGGTTGCCTTCAGAACAGATTCTAAATCTGGCTGAATAGGTTCATTCTTATGTTTTTTGTTTGTTTGGTTTTTTTTCTTTCTTTTTTTCGAGACGGGGTTTCACCGTGTTGGTCAGACTGGTCTTGAACTCCTGACCTCAGGTAATCCACCAGACTCGGCCTCCCAAAGTGCTGGGATTACAGGCGTGAGCCACCACACCCGGCCTCCATTCTTATGTTTTTAGATTTATCTTTGTATACTGGGTTTATGGAGAGGGTAATAAACAGGCATTTGTTTTTTTCTCCAATCAGGTTTGAGACTTACCCCCACTAGGTTATTACTGTCTTTACTGTTATGTTGTCATATGTTTATACACCATTTAAAATCGTTAAAACATAGTTTATGTGTCCATTTCTTACAGGTTGCAGATATTTTATTCCAAACGGCCCAAAATGCAGGGATCAGTTTTGACACAGTGTGTGGAGTACCTTATACAGCGTTACCATTGGCTACAGTTATCTGTTCAACCAATCAAATTCCAATGCTTATTAGAAGGAAAGAAACAAAGGATTATGGTAAAATAAAAGTAACATAAGCATTAAGTTAATTAATCTGTAACATAATACTGTTAGAATTTTTTTCTCCTCCGTGCACTAATGATTTACCAGAGTCATCTTGAGTCCTTTAAGTTGTTATTGGCTGTGGAATTTGTAACTGTTACTATAAGTCACCTTCCTTTTTTTTAGAGTCTAGGGGTGAAATGCTTTGTATTGGTTGAAAAAAGGTGCTTTTTGTGGTACTGTATCTATGCAACCCCAACTTTTTTTTTTCACCAGTCCATCCCTCATCAGCAAAATGTAACAGCACATACTTTCCCAATAGGTTTGTATTTAAACTTCATAAAAAAGTAATGCATGGATAAAATTATTCTCATAAAACAGATAAAACAGTGCAAATACCTAGAGAGATGCTTTTGTGGGTTCATGGCAATAGATTATCAGGCGGCTTGCTTTAAAACCCGAGAATTGGACCAGGCACCATGGCTCACACCTGTAATCCCAGCACTTTGGGAGGCAGAGGTGGGCGGATCACTTGAGGTCAGGAGTTTGAGAGCAGCCTGACCAACATGGTGAAACCCCGTCTCTACTAAAAATATAAAAATTAGCTGGGTGTGGTGATGTGCCCCTGTAATCTCAGCTACTTGGGAGGCTGAGATAGAAGACTAGCTTGAACCCAGAAAGTAGAGGTTGCAGTGAGCCGAGATCACACCACTGTACTCCAGCCTTGGGGACAGAGTGAGACCCTATTTTAAAAAAAACAAACCTGAAAATCGGCCAGGCACAGTGACTCACACGTAATCCCAGCACTTTGGGAGGTCAAGGCAGGAGGATAGCTTGAGCCCAGGAGTTGGAGACCAGCTTTGGCAACATAGTGAGACTTTGTCTCTACAAAAAAATTGAAAAAAAGAATAAAAAATTAGCTGAGTGTTGCAGTTACATGGGAGGCTGAGGCAGGAGGATGGCTTAAGCCCAGGAGTTGAAGGTTGCAGTGAGGTATGAATGCGCCACTGCACTGCACCCTGGGTGACAGAGCAATACTATCAAAAAATAAATAAATAAAACCTGAAAAGCAATCTTAATGATAGTAAGGAATTAATGGACTTTTTTGTTTATGTTGGTGTATTAGTGTTTTGTTAATTTTTTGAAACACATCCTGCTTTTACAGATGCATTCTAAAAATTTTTATGATAGAAAAAGAAACATATTAATTGAGTTTTTGCTGTGAAGGCCAGCGTTAATTTTTCTGTTTTTGGGGTTTTTTGAGACAAGGTCTCACTCTGTTGCCTAGGCTGGTCTTGAACTCCTGGTCTCAAACCGTTTTCCTGCCTCAGCCTCCCGAAGTGCTGGGATTACAGGTGTGAGCCACTGCACCCAGCTGAGATTTTCTGAGCTAAAAAAAAAAATTTCTATATGAATCCCTACCCATAAGAAAACTCTTGTTTCTATTTTATTATTTTACATTTTAAAATTTTTTCTAGAATTAAAGTATGCATTTTAAAATATACTATAAGTACTTGCAGTCTTGTGTTCTAGCTTAAGCTGATTTAATTAAACTTGCAATTGTTCAAGGGGTGGAAGGGATTTGATGGGTCTATAAAGTCTACAACCCAAGTTATTTACATTTTGTAGATTATCTGAAAAATAGTTTATAGTGGGATTTGGGGTAGAGACGTATATATTTAGTCATATTGCATTCTATAATTCTTTAGGTTGTAGTAATGGATTTAAATGATTGCTGAATATTTTGCCTTCTGAATTTATATCTTCAAAAAGCCAATTGTTTGGCTGATCTTGAATAGTAAACTGGTAATACTTTGATGGAAAAATGAATTATTTCATTGATGATATTGGATTATTCTGTGTTTCATAACTTTCCTTGATCTAGGTGCTCTTGCTGTAAGAAACTCTGTATTTAGGCTGGTCATGGTGGGTCACACCTGTAATCCTAGCACTTAGGAAGTCTGAGGTGGGAGGATCACTTGAGCTCAGGAGTTTGAGACCAGCCTGGGCAACATAGTGAGACCTCATCTCTATTATAAAACAAATTTTTTTAATTAAATAAAAAAAAACCTCCGTATTTGAAAATTTGATCATAAAACACATTTAGCAGTGCTTATAATGTAAAATAATTTACTTGTTTTACCATAAATATATGTGTAACCAGCAAGTTTGATATACATACACACATATACATATATATTTGAATTTAGAATCAGCAGAATTTTTTCTTTTCTAGGAACTAAGCGTCTTGTAGAAGGAGCTGTTACTCCAGGAGAAACCTGTTTAATAATTGAAGATGTTGTCACCAGTGGATCTAGTGTTTTGGAAACTGTTGAGGTTCTTCAGAAGGAGGGCTTGAAGGTCACTGATGCCATAGTGCTGTTGGACAGAGAGCAGGGAGGCAAGGACAAGTTGCAGGCACATGGGATTCGCCTCCACTCAGTGTGTACATTGTCCAAAATGCTGGAGATTCTCGAGCAGCAGAAAAAAATTGATGCTGAGATGGCTGGGAGAGTGAAGAGGTTTATTAAGGAGAATGTCTTTGTGGCAGCGAATCAAAATGGTTCTCCCTTTTCTGTAAGGGAAGCACCCAAAGAACTCAGCTTCGGTGCACGTGCAGAGCTGCCCAGGATCCACCCAGTTGCATCGAAGCTTCTCAGGCTCATGCAAAAGAAGGAGACCAATCTGTGTCTGTCTGCTGATGTTTCAGAGGCCAGAGAGCTGTTGCAGCTAGCAGATGCTTTAGGACCCAATATCTGCATGCTCAAGACTCATGTAGATATTTTAAATGATTTTACTCTAGATGTGATGAAGGAATTGATAACTCTGGCAAAACGCTATGAGTTCTTGATATTTGAAGACCGAAAATTTGCAGATATAGGAAACACGGTGAAAAAGCAGTATGAAGGTAAGTGTATTATTCAAGAATCTGCAAGAATCAGAAATCCAGCTTAAACTGGCTGAAGAGAAAAAAAAGGAAATGCTTATGTCACTGAAAGTCCATTCATAGAGCACGCTGTCAAGCATGGTTGGATCCAGGAGCCCAAGTGGTGTCTTCATGACTTGCTTTCTTTCCATTTCTCAGCTCTGCTTTCTTCTCTGTTGACTTCTTTCTCAGGTAGGCATACTCAACATGCTCACCCCAAGCCAATCACTCTAGCTTGGGATATAGAATACCTTCATTAGCTAGCCTGGACAATCTGCTCTGCAGTTGTGAGGTTGTTAACTCTACTTGACCTTCTTTTTTTTTTTTAATTGTATTTGGGCTCTGGGGTACATGTGCACATCCTGCAGGATTGTTGGATGGGTACATACATGCCTATTTGACCTTCTTGAAGTGAGAACCAGGCAGGGATAGTTTTCTTAAAGAAAATGGGTATGCTGATACCAGAAGAAGTTATGTGTCTGGCCAAGCAAATGTGACAGATGTCTCTGGCAGAATATGATGTTTTAAATGAAAATTCCACATAAAGGAAACAATGAAAAAGAAGTATAAAATAGTAAGATTAGCTGGATGTGGTGGCTCACGCCTGTAATCCCAGTACTTTGGGAGGCCAAGGCGAGCGGATCACCTGAGGTTAGGAGTTTGAGACCAGCCTGACCAACATGGAGAAACCCCGTCTCCACCAAAAATACAAAATTAGCCAGCTGTGGTGGTGCATGCCGGTAATCCTAGCTACTTGGAAGGCTGAGGCAGGAGAATTGCTTGAATCCCAGAGGCGGAGGTTGCAGTGAGCCAAGATGGCGCCACTGCACTCCAGCCTGGGCAACAGAAGTGAAACTCCATCTCAAAAAAACAAAAAGATTTATTTGTAGCAGAAAAAGTTCTATTGATAAACGTTCTTTGTATAAAATAGTGCATGTGTTGGTTAAGAAAAATGCTTAGTTCTACTGCCTATTTTTTGTAAATTTCTGTCTATGTTTTTACAACTATGGTCAGACTGTATTTTAATACATTTTTCACTTAACCTTGTAACAGATATTGGTGGTATTTAACATTTTTTGTAGGCATCTTTGAGGTAACTTTGCTTTAATGTGTGCCTGTTCAGAACAGATTTGTCTTTAAGTGACTTCTTCCTATGCTTAAGATGTCCTGCCATCATCGCATTGCCCAACTTACTTTAGCCAATTGACTGGTATGAGAGTTTTATACAAACTCTTTCAGGTCTGCATAGAGGTTTTTCAAAAATTAGGCCTTTTACTTTCCACTTTTAAAAAGATATAGTTGCCTATTGAAATTAGATAGCTAAGGATACCTAAGGAATGCACAGAGATGTTGAGCGATAGTAAAGCTGCTGAGAGACCCCTGCAGATTGAAAACTTATTATCTTCAAGAATTTTATTTTTTTTATTTTTTTGAGAAAAGGGTCTTGCTCTGTCACCCAGGCTGGAGTGCCGTGGTGCAATCTTGGCTCACTGCAACCTCCGCCTCCCGGGCTCAAGCGATCCTCCCACCTCAGCCTCCCAAGTAGCTGGGACTACGGGTATGTGCCACCATACCTGGCTAATTTTTTGTGTTTTTGGTAGAGATGAAGTTTTGCCATGATGCCCAGGCCGGTGTTGAACTCCTAAGCTTAAGCAGTCTACTTACCTCAGCCTCCCAAAGTACTGGGATTACAGACATGAGCCACAGTGAGGAGCTTTAAATTGTTGTTATTCTTGACATCAACAAATGTTTGTCTTCACTGGAGTCCCTTTCTAATAGCTTGAGCTGTATTTGTGGTCATGAGCTTCAGCCTGCAAGGAAAAACAGTCATACTAGTGTTTCTGATAAGCCAAGTGCAGACCTTGGAAGTTTTTTTCCTCATTGTGAACTCTCACCCAGCTGTTTACCTAAATAACAGTTAAATTTTTCACAGATGGAACCATGGGTCCACTGATAATCACTAAAGTTCCTGAAGTGTTTGATTATCTCATTAACATGTTACTAGAAGATTATTTCATATCGTAGTTGGTTGATTGGACAAGAGGTTAGAGGTTTTTGTTTGAAAATTAAAAATCTTTTTCCCCCTTCTTCTTAGGAGGTATCTTTAAAATAGCTTCCTGGGCAGATCTAGTAAATGCTCACGTGGTGCCAGGCTCAGGAGTTGTGAAAGGCCTCCAGGAAGTGGGCCTGCCTTTGCATCGGGGGTGCCTGCTCATTGCGGAAATGAGCTCCACCGGCTCCCTGGCCACTGGGGACTACACTAGAGCAGCGGTAAGTGATGGAGGGACGGGGCGAGAGGAGGCAGGGGCTGCTATGCTGTACGCAATAGGGCAAGAAAATATCTCTTAATCTGGCGTCCATGGAACCTCTGCCAAAAAAAAAAAAAATCCAGCTCTTGTTAGTGTGACAGTATATTAATGCTAGTTGGATATAATTCCTTGATAGTTAATAGCATTTTATGTTGTGTAATAGACACTTCAGGAATTTGTATTGTACTCCAAGAGAAACTTTGAGACCCAGATAATTAGTCAAACACTTACTAAATCTACCAGGACTTTAAGGTAATTGTTTTTTTCATCTTACCATGAGTTGAGAAAAGATAAAAGCTTCCCAGACATGTAGTTTCTCAGAATCTCCTGAGTCCTACAGAGATGCACATTCCCATGACCAGCCCACATGCAGTGGTTTTCTCTCATTCTTGTCAGATATTTTAGAATATAATATTACTTTTAAAATAATTGTCATGGGGCCTGGGCACAGTTGTTCACACCTGTAATCCTAGCATTTTGGGAGGCCAAGGTGGGAGGATTGCTTGAGGTCATGAGTTTGAGACCAGCTTGACATCATAGTGAGAACTTTACAAAAAAAGGAAAAAGCAAATTAACCAGGCATGATGATACATGCCTGTAGTCCCAGCCATTTGGGAGGCTGAGGTGGGAGGATCACTTGAGGCTGCAAGATGAAGGCTGCAGGGAGCTATGATCATGCCATTGTACCCCAGCATGGCAAGAGTAAAACCTATCTCAAAAAAAAAAAAAAATCCCTAAGAAAATCCCCATGATTTTTTTCCCTATTTGAAAATTCTAGAAGTAACGGATTTATTTTTTTCATATTATTTCAAAGACTATCTGGAGACTTAATAGAACTCATATGGCTCCACGGTCAGATTTTAACCCCATCCCTGGATTGACTATAGATGTCTGATTTCCCAACTCTCACAAGCACAGGAGCCATCAGTCAGTTTTAATATTTGACATTCTGGCAGTCTGGGTCTAGCTAAAGGACAAGATATGACTTGTTTGTTGGCAGTAGTACTTGATGGCAAGAATATATCAAATGAGTCTTAGGTCTCAGGGAAGTGTCAAATCAGAAAGCCAGGCAGACCTTCTAAGGGAACTGTTATGAATGTGAGATAATAGTATAGAAATTGGGGGGGCCAGTTGATGTTACAGAAGAGGGAAGGTGGTAGAGGTGAGATTTCTTTAGCTCTTGAAAACGTATCTGTTCTTTACATGACAGCTGCCTTTGGATGTGAAGTACCCTGTCTGTGTACTCAGTAAGCCTTGAATGTGGTTTCATACCATTATAATGTATTCTAGAGTACTCACCTCAAATCCATTTTGGAAGTAGATGAGTCACCAAGCATTATTAGAAATAAGTAATTATGCAGCATGTTGATTTTAGATGCATATGGTATAGGATTTTTGTTTTAAGTATGGTTTGTTGTGGGAAGGGGGGGGAAAGGGTCATCTCAGGGTCTTAATGAAGCAAATGTGTTTCATAGTGGTTTCGATCTAAGATTACCTGTTTCAGATATAGTGAGTTTATATATATGGAAAAGGTGTCTGTAATACAGCAAAGTTTCTCACTGGATAATAGAGCATAAGTTGGGCATGGTAACTCACACCTGTAACCCCAGCACTTTGAGAGGCCAACTTGGGAGGATCCCTTGAGCCCAGGAGTTCGAGACCAGCCTGGGCAATATAGGGAGACCCTATGTCTAAAAAAAAAAATAGAGCATATTTTTACTTTTATTCTGTGTGATTAACTTTTCTTGTAATATGTTCTGTTACATTCCATTTAGGTTAGAATGGCTGAGGAACACTCTGAATTTGTTGTTGGTTTTATTTCTGGTTCCCGAGTAAGCATGAAACCAGAATTTCTTCACTTGACTCCAGGAGTTCAGTTGGAAGCAAGAGGTAAATCTAAATCTCTTCACTGGTCATGGCTCTTCCAAAAAAGCTTCTTTACCCACAGCAGGCAAAATACTTTGCATGTTTTTATACATTTGCTTAAGAGAAGCCTTCTTAGTCTAGAACAATAATGAATCAGCCCTTTGGTAACTGTGTATCTTTGGACAAGTCAGTTTACTTCTTTTAGTCTCATTTTCGTAATTTGTAAAATGGGGATGATAACAGTATTGCCCTTATAAGGTAATCAAGAGGGTTTAATGAGAACATGTAGGGTATTTAACACACTGTCTTGGCACAGAGTAAATATTCTGTACTTGTAAGCCCTTATCTATAAGCCCTCATAATTATTTGACTAGATACTATAGTTAGGATTTAGGCTTTTAAGAATACTTAAAGTAGCTTGGATTTAGAAGATAATAAGCCATTTAATACAATGCTTCTAGAACAGCAGAATTTAATAAAATAAAAATAAAAAATAAAAAAAGCAAAATTTAAGGATTAAGATTTATGCATAGTCTGTGACCACTTGATGGGGTTGTGACAGAAAGGTTCTTATATATGTTAGTGGTTTAGACTTGCTCAACAGTGCATTGTGGTGATTCTGAGATGTATGCTAAACTTTTCGTAAATTGTAAGGCCAATCTTTTTTTAAGTTTTTTTGATATTGAAACTTTCTTGGCAACGTGATTTTGGGGAAAAAATTACTTGAAAAAAAAAAAATAAGGCCGGTTGCAGTGGCTCATGCCCGTAATCCCAGCACTTAGGGAGGCTGAGGTGGGCAGATCACTTGAGGTCAGGAGTTCGAGACCAGCTTGGCCAACGTGGTGAAACTCCATCTCAACTAAAAACACAAAGATTAGCCAGGCATGCTGATGTGTGCTTGTAATCCCAGCTACTCGGGAGGCTGAGCCAGGAGAACGGCTTGAACTCGGGAGGCGGAGGTTGCAGTGAGCCAAGATTGTGCCACTGCACTCCAGCCTGGGTGACAGAGCAAGACTCTGTCTCAAAAAAATAAATACAATAAATAAATAAAAACAAACTTTACCATTGAAAAGGAGATGGTGGTGAGCATCTTTCTCCATTTGAGGTCTCTGGCCTACCACAGTGAGTCTCTTCAGCTTCTGTTTTTACCTACTTGCTGTACAAAAGAGGAATGAAAATAGAAGCATTTTTTTTTTTAAGTTTTTTTTTCTGGAGAGGGCATCTTGCTCTGTCACCCACACTGGAGTGAATGGCGGAATCTCCGGCTCACTGGAATCTCTACCTCCCAGGTTCAAGCGATTCTCCTGCCTCAGCTTCCTGAGTAGTTGGGATTACAGGCATGTACCACCACACCTGGCTAATTTTTGTATTCTTAGTAGAGACAGAGTTTTGCCATGTTGGTCAGGCTGGTCTTGAACTCCTGACCTCAGGTGATCTGCCTGCCTTGGCCTCTCAAAGTGCTCAGGATTACAGGCGTGAGCCACTGCGCCTGACCTAGGAGCATATTTTTATTTAAAGTTGGTTGGATCCTTTTTCAGAGAAGTCATGTGACAGATTTTCTGATTTTTGTTAAACAATAGTTTTTGCATTTCTTGTAGGAGATAACCTTGGCCAACAGTACAATAACCCACAAGAAGTTATTGGCAAACGAGGTTCTGATATCATCATCGTAGGCCGTGGCATAATCTCAGCAGCTAATCGTCTGGAAGCAGCGGAGATGTACAGAAAAGCTGCTTGGGAAGCGTATTTGAGTAGACTTGGTGTTTAAGTGCTTCAGATACATTTTTGTGAAGACATTGAAGATACGTGGTCCCCCTGAAAGTCACTGGCTGGAAATCATCTGCTGCCTTTACTACTGCTTGGATTCTTCCACAAGGCCTGTGTAAGAATGGCTTCTGGAGTTACTATGGTCTTTAGGAAATACTGAGTAATTTGTAATCACTGCATTGTTACTATATTAAGTTCATTCTCAAGCTTGTGTTTTTTGACACTAGTGTTTGTTATATAGCCACAGTCCTGTTTAGGTTAGCGTCTTCCACATTTGAGGATCCTTCCTGTCTCTCCATGGGACTAGACTGCTTTGTTATTCTTTTATGTTTTTTTATTTTTATTTTTTTTGTTTGTACTTTAGGTTCTGGGGTACATGTGCAGATGATGCAGGATTGTTGCTTAGGTGCATACATGGCAAGGTGGTTTGCTGCCTCCATCCGCCTGTCACCTATATCTGGCATTTCTCCTCATGTTATCCCTCCCCAACGTCCCCACCCGATGCTGTTCCTCCCCTAGCTCCTCCCAACAGACCCTAGTGTGTGATGCTCCCCTCCCTGTGTCCATGTGTTCTTGTTGTTCAACACCCGCCTACGAGTGAGAACATGCAGTGTTTGGTTTTCTGTTCTTGTGTCAGTTGGCTGAGAATGATGGTTTCGAGATTCATCCATGTCCTGCCTACAAAGGACACGATCTCATCATTTTTTATGGCTGCATAGTATTCCATGGTGTGTATGTGCCACATTTTCTTTGTCCAGTCTATCATTGATGGGCATTTGGGTTGGTTCCAAGTCTTTGCTATCGTAAATAGTGCCACAGTGAACATACGTGTGCATGTGTCTTTATAATAGAATGATTTATAATCCTTTGTATATATACCCAGTAATGGGATTGCTGGGTCAGATGGAATTTCTATTTCTAGATCCTTGAGGAATTGCCACACTGTCTTCCATAATGGTTGAACTGATTTACACTCCCACCAACAGTGTAAAAGCGTTCCTATTTCTCCACATCCTCTCCAGCATCTGTTGTCTCCTGATTTTTTAATGATCGCCATTCTAACTGGCATGAGAGTATCTCAATGTGGTTTTGATTTGCACTTCGCTAATGACCAGTGATGATGAGCATTTTTTCATATGTTTGTTGGTGCATAAATGTCTTCTTTTGAAAAGTATCTGTTCATATCCTTTGTCCACTTTTGAATGGGTTTGTTTTTTTTCTTGTAAATCTGCTTTAGCTCTTTGTAGATTCTGAATATTAGCCCTTTGTCAGTTAGGTAGATTGCAAAAATTTTTTTCCATTCTGTTGGTTGCTGGTTCAGTCTAACGATTGTTGCTTTTGCTGTGCAGAAACTCTTAAGTTTAATTAAATCCCATATTTGTCTATTTTGGCTTTTGTTGCCACTGCTTTTGGTGTTTTAGCCATGGAGTCCTTGCCTGTGCCTATATCCTGAATGGTTTTGCCTAGGTTTTCTTCTAGGGTTTTATGGTGTTAGGTTGAAATCTTTAAATCCATCTGGAGTTACTTTTTGTATAAGATGTAAGGAAGGGGGGCCAGTTTCAACTTTCTGCCCATGGTTAGCCAGTTTTTCCAACACCATTTATTAAACAGGGAATCCTTTTCCCCATTGCTTGTTTTTGGCAGGTTTGTCAAAGATCAGATGGTTGCAGATGTGTGGTGTTACTTCCGAGGCCTCTGTTCTGTTCCATTGGTCTGTATCTCTGTTTTGGTACCAGTACCATGCTGTTTTGATTACAGTAGCCTTGTTGTGTAGTTTGAAGTCAGGTAGCATGATACCTCCAGCTTTGTTGTTTTGCTTAGGATCGTCTTGGCTATGCGGGCTTTCTTTTGGTTCCATGTGAAGTTTAAAGTGTTTTTTTCCCATTCTCTGCAGAAGGTCAATTTTAGCTTTATGGGGATAGCATTGAATTTATGAATTACTTTGGGCAGTATGGTCATTTTCACGATATTGACTCTTCCTAACTATGAGCAGGGAATGTTTTTCCATCCATTTCTGTCCCCTCTCATTTCCTTGAGCAGTGGTTTGTGGTCTTTCGCATCCTTTGTTAGTTGTATTCCTAGGTATTTTATTATCTTTGTAGCAATTGTGAATGGGAGTGCACTCATGATTTGGTTCTCTGTCTTGTTGGTGTATGGGAATGCTTGTGATTTCTGCACATTGATTTTGTATCCTGAGACTTTGCTGAAGTTGTTTATCAGCTTAATGAGGCTTTGGACTGAGACAATGGGGTCTTCTAAATATACAATCATGTCATATGCAAATAGAGACAATTTGACTTCCTCTTTTCCTGATTGAATACCCTTTACTTCTTTTTCTTGCCTGAGTACTCTGGCTAGAACTTCTAATACTATATTGAATAGGAGTGGTGAGAGAGGACATCCTTGTCTAGTGCCTGTTTTCAAAGGGAATGCTTCCAGTTTTTGCCTGTTAAGTATGATATTGGCTGTGGGTTTGTCCTAAATAGCTTTTATTATTTTGAGATACCTTCCATCAATACCTAGTTTATTCAGAGGTTTTAGCATAAAGGGCTGTTGAACTTTGTTGAAGACTTTCTCTGAATCTATTGAGGTAATCATGTGATTGTCTTTGGTTCTGTTTATATGGTGGATTACGTTTATGATTGATAAGCTTTTTGATTGTGCTGTTGCATTCAGTTTGCCAGTATTTTATTGAAGATTTTTGCATTGATGTTCATCATGGATATTGGCCTGAAGTTTTCTTTTTTAGTTGAGTCTCTGCCCGGTTTTTGTATGAGGATGATGTTGGTCTCATAAAATGAGTTAGTGAGGCTTCCCTTTTTTTGTATTGTTTGGAATAGTTTCAGAAGGAATGGTACCACAAAGGGAAACCCATCAGACTCACAATGTACTTCTGGTAGAATTTGTATGTCTTTGTATGTCTGGTAGAATTCAGCTGTAAACCTGTCTGGACCTGGACTTTTTTTGGTTGGTAGGCTATCAATTGCTGCCTCAACTTCAGACCTTGTTATTGGACTATTCAGGGATTCAGTTTCTTCCTGGTTTAGTCTTGGGGAGGGTGTAAGTGTCCAGGAATTTATCCGTTTCTTCTGGATTTGCTGGTTTATGTGCATAGAGTTGTTTGTAGTAATCGCTGATGGTGGTTTGTATTTCTGTGGCTTCAGTGGTGATATCCCCTTTATAATTTTTTATTGCATCTATTTGATTCTTCTCTCTTTTCTTTTTTATTAGTCTGGCTAGTGGTCTATTTTGTTGATTTTTTCAAAGAACCAGCTCCTAGATTTATTGATTTTTTTTTTTTGAAAGGCTTTTTGTGTCTCTATCTCCTTCAGTTGTGCTCTGATCTTAGTTATTTCTTGTCTTCTACTAGCATTTGAATTTTTTTGATCCTGCTCCTCTAGCTTTTTCAATTTTGATGATAGAGTGTTGATTTTATATCTTTCCTTGCTTCTCATGTGGGCATTTATTGCTATAAATTTCCCTCTAGACCCTGCTTTAAATGTGTCCCAGAGAATCTGGTACGTTGTGTCTTCGTTCTTCTTGATTTTGAAGAGCGTCTTTATTTCTGTCTTCATTTCATTGTTTATTCAGTCAGCATTCTGGAGCCAGTTGTTCAGTTTCCATGTAGTTGTGTGGTTTTGAGCAAGTTCTAATTTGATTGCAGTGTGATCTGAGAGACTTTGTTATGATTTCCATTCTTTTGCATTTGCTGAGGCGTGATTTATTTCCAATTATGTGGACAATTTTAGAGTAAGTGCAATGTGGTGCTGAGAAGAATGTATATTCCGTGCATTTGGGGTGGAGAGTTCTGCAGATGTCTCTTAGGTCTGCTTGGTTCAGATCATGTGCTTTCAAGCCTGGATATCCATGTTGACTTTCTGTCTCATTGTTCTAATATTGACAAAGGAGTGTTAGTCTCCCACTATTATTGTGTGGGAGTCTAAGTCTCTTAGTAGGTCGTTAAGAAATTGCTTTATATATCTGGGTGCTCCTGTATTGGGTGTATATATATTTAGGATAGTTAGCTCTTCTTGTTGCATTGATTTTTTTTTTTTTTTTTTT